AGCAGTAGTAGGAGTAGTGTTGAGTTGATCACTTCGGGTTGGATGTAGTAGTAGATAGCAATGTCTGATGCGCCACCACCAGCGTTGGCAAAGTCAGAGATAGAGAAGGACGCACCACGCTACTGTAAAGGGTGGTACAATGCTAGGGGGACTAAGATGGATATGTGGCTTGAAGATTTCCGAGGGAAGATACCGTTGGACATTCGAGGTTAGTGTTGAATTAATACATGTCTGGTTTCCTCAACTGAGCCTGGGTGGTTCCTCACTGACTGATATGAGTTTAGGTATGAATTCGAATGGAAAAGTTCCTAAAATTTTCCCCAGGATTTTCGTTGACCATGTGCATATTTCCCATTCACCCACACTGTCCTCCGAAGAGACGATGGTTTCAATTGACAAGGTACATTCATCCGTAACGGCCCTGGGGTGCTGGAAGTGTATGGAGAGGAGTTGAGGCATCCTATAGATGGTGATGGTCTTGTCGTGGCCTTAGCCTTTAGAGATGGCAAGGCTCACTTGAGGAGCAGGTAGAGGGCAGTGTGGGAAAATATGCACATGTTTTAGTGACAATATGGAAATTCTGAGAAAATTTTGGAAAATTTTCGTTGGCTTGTTTTAGAGCGTGAAGTTTATGCTTCACCAGGATTCCGTATAGTGTGGGAAAATACGCATATGGTCAACTACATGTGTTAGTGACAATATGAAAATTTTGAGAAAATCCGAATTCGCATGCAAACTTTCACAGTAAGTGCGGAAACCCTTCTGAGCTCAGCTGCTGAGTAAAGCGAACATATATCCCTACTCCAACACTGTATGGGTCAGATTTGTATCTACTTTCTCCCATGTGGAGGAGGAGGCGGCTGGTAGGATGCTGTACCCTGGACAGATGGGCTCGGAACCTAGGCTACCAGCGGCGGCGACCCTTAGAAGGTGTTGGGTTGATGATTCTTCAAAGTGCGCTTGACGAGGGTGTCCTCCTTTTATGTAGATGGCGTGATCCGAGTCATACGAATGTTCTCTGTTGGGGAGGGAGGATATTGTCTTTTCACGAGTAAGGCTCGGGAGTAAGGCCTCCTCAGGGGTTTTAGAATCTCGCTCGCCCTCATGTAAGAGGAATTTAGACAAGTATTTAATCTGTGAAGTATTCAAGGCATATAACAGAGCTGGGAGAGCCTATGTACAAAATTTCAGCTCTGGGTGAAAACTTTTTACTAAACAGTTATGCAGGTGGCACCTGGAGCCCATCCACTTTTGAGAAATAACATTCCCTAGGGTTTGTTGTTAGTGTTACATTTGCATGAGAAATCGATTTGAAAGCGTGTTCTCAGCCGTGTGGGAAGATTAAAAAAAAGTTCTTTTGGGGACATTATGGGTTCCTGGATGATCTCTTCGGTAACAAGAAACAGAGTGGGCTTCAGATCGTACCTCCTATATGCATTCCGTCCTATTGCTGAGGAGGATTATGACCAGTTTACTTTACTTTGTCATAGCTAGATCTATGCCATATGAAAGCCATATTTCGGCGAGTTTGTGGTATGATGAGCTCGATGGGTCCGATTTTAATACTATGATCATTATGCAGAGTAGGGGGTATTTGTAGATATGCATTGCCTCATCGGCTGTGTCTTAAGACGTTGAAGACTTTACGACAGAAGGAGGACTTAGGCGGATCGCAGGTAGCCACTATCCGGATCGGGTTGTTGTATATGTTGTTGTTGCATATGTTGTTGTATATGTTGTTGTATATGTTGTTGTTGTATATGTTGTTGTATATGTTGTTGTTGTATATGTTGTTGTATATGTTGTTGTTGTATATGTTGTTGTTGCATATGTTGTTGTTGTATATGTTGTTGTTGCATATGTTGTTGTTGTATATGTTGTTGTTGTATATGTTGTTGTTGTATATGTTGTTGTTGCATATGTTGTTGTTG